TTTGATGTTAGTGAATTATCCATGAATTCTTTTTTACTCTTTAAGTATTAGTCAACCGTTGCTAAATTTTTTTTATGAGGTTTTAACATTTTTGTTGATCAAATAAGCATTTTTGTAACAGTGTAAACGACAAACAAAATAGACATACCAACTTATTTAAGATCAGGAATAATTACATACTAACATCATAACGTTTAGTGATGCTAACAAAAGAGTAGTGGAATATCATAAAAATTATAAGCCCATAAGGTTTATTATCCAAGGAATTATATGTATAATGAAACCTTCATTCCAAAGTGGAGGAACTTTGAACCCCTGAAACACAATAATCTACCCAAATAGGTCATTTAAATACAAAAGAAAATTGGCTGGCTTAATCAAGATTATTTGCAAAATTCGAAAGTATAATGCTATATTTGGTAGATTTTTAAAATACAATGGCTTAAAATTAAGAAAAACGCGAGAGTTATTTATTTTATTATTTCTGCAGGTTATTGCTTTTCGTGTGTTGTAGAAGAGCAACAATTTAACAATTTGGTTCGAGATATTTGAGTAGCTTATTTGAGATATTTGTGATGCTTTTGTCATGTTTTAAGCAATTGACAATGTTACCCTTTGATGTATAAACAAGAAAAAAACAGAAAAGGGTAATGTAGGCATTTTACTTGGAACATGACCAAAAACATTACAAAAAAGGAAAACTTTTGTAATTTATTTTAAAATTAGATAAAAAAAGATGGAAAAGCGAACCTTGTTAACAAAAAATCCTTTACGTTAATCTACCAAAGCTGATATATTTTAGATTGATCACACACCCGGGAAACATAATCCACCTGCAAATCAATGAAAATACTACATATCAAAAAATAGGTAAGGGTAGAGTAATTATATAAAAGGAGTTAAAAAAAAATTTGGTAAATATTTTAAAAAAATATAAAACATATAATAATGTTTTTGAAAAATGATATATTGTATAAAAAATTATAAATGACTAAATATATCAAAAAAAAACTTTGTTATCTTACAAATTAACTAACCAATGAAAGAGTCAAAGGAACCTGGCTAAATTTTTTTATTTTGAACACATGAACCATATATGAATTTACTTTTTATAAATCATGTAAAAGAATACATTAACCGAACACGTAAGTATGTAACAGTACACAATTTACTACCTATCAAACCATTAAAACATTTAACTGCCACGTTCTACATCAATGTCAATGTAATGTAGTAAATTCAAAAAATATTAAATATAAAGTAGAAAACGTTTTTTATAAAATGAAGTCACTTGGTCAATTACCCAAATGAAAGGGTTACTAAAATATACTGATACCTCGTGTTAGTATAATCCATATTCGTTAATAATCACATTTTTCACTCCATAAAATGGAGTAATTAAGATAAGTAAATGCAATTACCATGTAAAAATATATAGGAACTATACAAAGAAACAATAGGGTTAATTGTTAAGGTTCAAATGGCATTTAATGTAGAGGAGGAAAGGTCAAAAAGAAAAACTTAGTGAGCGAAAAAGAAATATACCTGCTCATCTTTATCGATTCCCACAACGTCTACACGACTTCGTGTTTCCAACTCTTCTCTTCCATCATCAATATTTGCTACCTCATAGCAATTAGTTGGATCCAAACGAAACGATCTCAGATATCCTAATTTAAATTTCTTTGCATCCTAAAAACATTCATTGATACTCTTAGAAACATTGTAAATATCAAAAAAAGGCTAGATAGAAAAATCTGGAATAATTGAGGTTACCTCTGGGGGTGTTGCACAAAGTAAATTTATGCCAACGCTGCAGGATCTAGCACCATTAATGGAAGTTTTTGATTCTATTTCAAGCACAACAAAGAAGGTCAATACAGTTTATTGTTTTATGATGTTAACTGTAAAGGTTTTCATTGTTAAGTGGATTTATAAATGATTGTAACACAAATACCTGAATCAGATGAACTTGATGGCTTCCTGACTAAAATATCTGTGAACCTGGTCTCTGTTGACGTGGATGTCAATATTGGAGTTGCCTGATCAAGTAGTATCACATAACATAAGGATCAATTTATGAATTAAAGCTATGGTAAGAAATTGTTTTAAGAGATAATTCTTGAGTGTGAAAACATCAAATGGATTAGCAACAACTCCCTCCCAATCTTTTGCAATAATTTAGCTTCACCCCTCTAATTATGATTTCTAATTAGTCAAATTACATAACAATGTAAATGAGTGAGAGATTAGAGAGGATAAATAAGTTAAGAACCTGAATCAAAGTTCTATGGTCTCAACATAACTGCGAAATTAGCTATACAGGGTGTTTATGAGCAAAGAGAAGAGCAATAAAAATAACTCTAATTTTTGCATGTGATTCGAATCCTAATCACAAAATTAAATGAATCTAGAGGCAGTTTTTTAAAGCATGAAAGCTTTGTTTGCACCATTGCTCATAATTATGTTACTGAACTCAAAAAACTGATGTGATTATGTTCACCATGTGCATAGTAACAATTCAAACCTTCAACAATTCCAACCTACACAAAAGGATTTTAACATAAGCAAGAATATCGAAAGTAATAAAAAAGGAACATGAGAAGAGGTAAAACTTTTACATCCTCATGTGCTTCTCCAAGGGCTTTTCCGTCTTTCTTTCTCCTCCAACTATGACCATCTTTACAAAAAAAAAAAACAAACCTTAGGACCTTGCTGTCAAAGAGAAACAAATAGCCACCTATAGAAGCATGTAATCAATAAGGTAGGTAACCACAAAATATCACTTTCAAAACTTATTAAGAAAGTGTAATAAAATGAAATTTGATATGCTTTTCAAAGTTTCCAATACCTCAGAGCATAAATGTATGTGATCGCACCGAGTAGAACCGGATAACGTACACCCAGCTGGAAATCATTTTCTAGGGCAGGACCGCAACCCAGTGAGGGATTAATCCCACAATTAAAAACAACAAAGCACAAATTAGAAAAAATTAGGGCTCAAACCTACCTGGATCGGGTTCATCATCTCTGGTAATACCTTAACAGGGGCTTTTGCCGGAGGCTTTCTCCTCGCCGGAGCAGTGTTAGGTCGATGAAGTGATCATTCACATCATCATCAAACCCTAGATAACAACACGTAGGTGGATAGAAATTAGAGAACGGTCGATGGAAATTAGAGAGCGGGTAAGACGCAGATAAAAATATCAGAGACGAACAAAGATAGAGATTAAAACACAAATTGAGATGAAGGCGGTGGAACGTCAAAGAGGCGCACTGAAAGAGTCGAAATCGAAAAGAGAAAGAGGGAGAAAAACGTTTATTGGAAGAGGGTAAAAATGATGCCTTCGCTTTGAGATAGAAGAAAAATAATTGAGATGAAAGCATACCAGATGAAGATGGATTGGCCGACAGTGGCTATTCCTGCCCGTCGGCGAGGCCGTCACTAAGCAGCAGCAGTAGCGGCAACGACACATCTGCTGCCTTCACGGCCTCTTGCAGTCGGTGGGAAACAGACACAAATCTACGGGAAGTCATCAAAGGAAGAAAGGCTTTGTGGATGAAATTGGAACAAACTGAGATAAGAAGAAAGGGGCGAAGTCAAAGGCGGTGGACTCAAAGGCGGTGGAGAGGAAGTAATAAGAGGCTAAAGTAGCAAAGGTCTGAAAGTGTAAAAGTTTGGTGGCGAAAATAGGAAAGCAAAGAAGTCACTGTAGATAAGACTCCCTAGATTTAAGTGTAAATATAATACCTATTTGTTTTTTTTTAACTAAAAATCATTTTTATCGATTGATCTTATGATCCTATCTTTTATCATAACAAAAGACAATTCAAATACGATCGTCGATCGGAATTGATTTATATTGTACAAATTCGTCATTTTAACAAAGTTGCTTCAGTTATGTTATCCACTGTTAAAATGGAACTTGACATAAAGGTGACTTTATGTATAATTTCTGATTTTTATCCATTTGCATGTGTACGTATATCATTAGACTAGGTTATAACCTGAGTAATCCACGGTTGATGAATTATAATAGCATAAGTATAAAAATAAAAATAATTAATATTAGATTTACATAGATTAATTTTTATAAAAAAGTTTGATGTGTTAACCGTAAATGTATAGTGGTTATTTCAAATGAAAGTAAATTGCTATTACTTGCATTAAACTGAGGTAATAAGAGTTTTTGAATTTATAGTTAAAAAAAACTTTAAAAGTGATGCTATAATAAAATAGAAACAAAAATCATATATTAATACATACTTACAGTACACATACACAGTAAAATAAAATTAGAATATTACATTTAAAAATTTAAAAAATAACAGGTCCTAATATAATAAATTACATAGGTGGTCAGTGTAAAAAAAACTTACACAAACACACACAGGTACATTAACACACAGTAATACACACACATGCACAATTAATGATAATATAATCTTGTAAAGCAATAGAAAGAGTAAGAAAAAATAAAGAGAATTTAAAATGCAAACAACCATATTTGGCCATGTACTCGAGATTTTTTAATGATAATTATAATTACCTTAGTATCCCTCCCCTTATTCAATTTTGCATCTATTAAAGGAGGATCAAAGTGTACAGAGAAATGAGTTTTTGAAAGTAAGTTACTATTTGTTTTTAAGCATTGTATTTATATTAATGCTTTATTTTTTTTATATTAAGGGGCTTAGCATTAAAGATAAAATAAAAATTGAATTATGGGTTTTAAATAAAAATTTTGAAAATTTATAAACTCGTTAAATAACTTTTCAATTTTTTTTCTTATTAAGGAATTGTAGTATATGAATATTAAGACAAACACACAAACTATAACAATGTGCTTTGAAAGTACATTACTATAATTGGTATATATTGAATTTTTTCCAAAAAAAAAAAACTTTTCATTTTTGTTTTTGTTCTTATTAAGCCATTGTAGTACAGGAATACATTAACACAACACACAAATTATAGTCCCTGATCAATGTAGTATATGTTGCTGTCATTTTGTAAAAATAACAAAATATATCACAAAGTTAAGCAAATACCACTACTGTCATATTCAATCTCTTTCATTTTATCACATTAATATAAAAATATCAAAATCCCAATCATTACCTCAAAATCCCAATCATTACCTCGTAAAAGTACACACATAGTTAAAACTCAAATTATTAATAAGAAAAAGAGTAACTATGAATGAACAAATATCACAACTTATCAACCTTGCTCACACGAAATGGAAAAAAAAATGCAAAAAAGATGACCAAATAAGGTAACAAAATCGACTTGTAATGAAAATCAAACATAGAAACGGAAACATATATGACTTTGTTCGCAGAAGAACACTTCATAAAAACAACTAAACTGCCACCATATGGACTTTGGAAAATCAAACATAGAAACAGAAGAACACATACCTACATAAATATGCATGTCAAGATTTCTAGTCAATGAGTGTTGATCTTCTTCATAAAAACAAGTAAACTCAAACTTTGGAAAATTGTTATCGAGTTATCAAACCAAAGTTAGCCAAAAGAGCTAGATATCACATAAAACACTAAAGAATTAATGTCGAGGTCTAATTTGCCACCATATGAACTTAAAGATTCTTAAAAACATCTAAGATTCAACATTTTTGTAATGAAATTATGAACAACTGACCTTGACATAACTAAGTTTGATAACCAAGAAGTTAACTTGCACAAAGAAATACATCAAATATTGTAACTATTGCAACATTGAAACTAAAATTAGGGATCATGGAAAAAGAAAGAGGGAAAAATATCATTTAATCAAGCGATTTAAGATACTTTCACTTTATACTTATCAACAATTTCCTAGTAGCATTTAATATATAGATAGATTAGAACCATCAAGTAGCATTTGAAGTGTTACTTAAGAAATATGAGAAACTAAACTTCAGTCATTTTCTATCAAGTTTTATAGCCATATTTTAATATGCAATCACATTATTACGATAGAGCTCCAGTCAAATCCATGGCCACAATTTACTTTCCTTCTAATGTCTGCCTGTCATACATCATACAACCACCGAACAAAATAGGGCCTCCAAATAATTATACATACATGTGTTCATTTTTAGTTTCCAAAAAAGGAGTGCATTGCGAAGACATATGATATACCTTAGTAAACAAATAGAAGCATGTCTACGAAGTAATGAATACAAAGCAAATGTGCCTCCTTAACCATTATCATCAGCCTTGAGGTAAGAAAGAACAATCACAGATTGATTCTTGAGAGTGACATTTCCTCGAACACCTGGTGGACAGACTTTGCAATGCAGATTTTGCAGGGTTCAATCTCTATCCTGCCAATTATAAAACTTAAAGAATGTCAATTTCAAAATCCAACACATCATCACTTGCTTTGGCAGTGTCTTTAATGGATTATTTAAGTACCGTGACATTTATAGGTTGAAAAAAGTTAAGTATCGTTGGTGTTAAGATTTGAATAGCACTTGACCGTCCATAAGCACAAAACTTTTCACCCAGATGTACAAACCATAAGTTCAAAATTCAATAAAAATACCTAGTGTTGCCTAAAAGATAGCAAGGCCTTTGAAAGACCCATTCACTACCGAAAATTGTGAAAATACTTCTTTCGATCATCATTACATCCAAGCAAAATGCCTCAATGGCCTCTAAATATTCTTCAATTCTCATATAGAAGTGTAACACCCATAAAAATCAAGCCAATTTAAAACTTTTAAAAACGTTTCAAACCATTTAACCTTACAAAGTTTGTTTTCAAAATGGTATAATATCAGAGTATCCCAGAAACATAAACAAAAATGTGAGGAGCTGTACGATCATGCATTTGCCTTTCCGCGATCATCTGATGTACCTGAAACAATAAACTGAAACTGTAAGCACAAAGCTTAGTGAGTTCCCCCAAAATACCCATACACACAACGATACACATATAATCACAAACAGCATACTATGGGTCCAGTCAACCATCGGGTTGGAATACCCCAGGCCCTCACAAACAGCTAGGTCTTTTGATCAATTAGGGTTCATTAGGCCCATTAGTCACATGTTTGGGCTTTTAGGTCAATTATTGCTTCATTGGGCCCACTAGGGTTTTAGTCCCCTTGTACAAACATCCCAAACGAGTCCAAAAAGCAAATGAGGCACACCACCTTACGGCGTTGGTTTTTGAGTTTCTTTTCATTATTCTACTTTCTAATTACATATTACAGTGCTTTATACCAAAATAAACACACACACACACACGCTCCACGCAATACAGCAGCAGCACACACACCTAAATACATGGTAAAACACACACACAACCACCTCCCACGGTGGCTGGTGGCGACGGAAAAATGGCAGCAAGCGGCGGAACAGCGACAACAAGCGGCGGTGATGAGTTTTCCTTCCGGTTCCTGGCCAAGAAAAACCTACACATCAGTAACCTTACAAAAACGGGCATACACACAACCAATCGCGCACACAACCACCTTTGCATGGTGGCTGGTGGCGGCAGAAAATAACGACATGGCGGCAACCACTATGGTTGCCAGCCATGGTGGATTTCTCTTGAGTTTTCTCTGGCCAAACATGATCCCATAATCATTCCAGGTTCTAATAGCAGCTCCAACTCTTCCAGATACGATATAACAGCTCTCAACCACCGACTAGGTGGCTGAGGAGGTTGGAACAGCGGAAACGGCGACCATTGGGCCACCGATGGCAGCAATTGACGTACACGACGTCGACTCACCAAGAATGGCGAAGGAGAGGAGAGGGAGAGGTGGCAGATGACCCTTACCAGCAATTTTCCAGTCGCACACAACTCCCGCAGCAACAATCTTAGCTTAGTTGTCAGTCTATGGCGGCCATCTCGGTTGTACACTACGGTTCCGGTGGCGGAGTTGTGATGGCAGAGATCCTCAGCGAGCAGCGACAGCTGGAGGTGTACCAAGGGTAGCGGCGACTGATCTAACGAGTGAGGCTTAGGGTTTGTTTCTAGGAAATGATGGGGAAGGGGTCATCGGGTATACCCCGTGTCCTCATACAACTTTGGTCCATTTTTCCATTTTTAGTCCTTCCCCGTAAATTCTTTTTCATCTCAACCCTCAAACTTACCAAACAGCCCCTCCTATACAAAACCCTTTTCAATTTGAGTCCAGAATTTACCATTTAGCCCCTGCCCCCCCCCCCCCCCAAGAATCTATTCAATAGAATCCAAATGATACCAAACACACCCCGACTTCTAAAATCCTTTTCAAACTAGATCCCAAAATTACACTTTAACCCCTGGAGATTCAAATCTTGTCATATGGATTCCCGAAACCAATTCCCAGCTAATTATTATTTGGTTTTGGATTATAATAATATTAAATAATAATAATAATTTCTTCTCGGGGTTTCGGGTTTATCATTTAATTATTATATTTTAAATGGGATGTTACAACTCTCCCCCACTTAAATTTGATTTCGTCCT